GGTTGCCTGTACAGCAGCCAGCCTGAGTAAGCGGGCAAGGGGGACCAAAGGCTCTAGGGATTCTCTTGAGAGGTGGTTTTCACCCAGACCAAGAGAGGTGCTAGCTGAGGTGGGGGGAATTAGAATGTGCACAGAGGGAAGGAGAGGATGAATATCATTTATGACATTGGGAAATCAACTGCAGCAGCAGACTTCATGGCCCATCTCGTACTACTGTGCTCTTTTCAAGTGTCCCTGAGAAAACAAGACTGGATTAGAATTGTGGAAATGCCATTCCCAATGGGGTGAACTTACTATAAGAAGGAAGTGGATCAGAGCAGTGCAAGGTGGACTATATGCCTTCAGATCCTTTACCTCCTTGCTCCAGGGCCTTTGCATCTATCTCAGCTTCTGAATTATCTACTGCTGATGGTCTACAGGTGTCTCCTCACTGGGTAATGGCCTCTGCAACAGGGATTTGCCTCACCCAAGATTATGCCTCCTCCTAGGGGGCAGCCTTACAGCCAATGATTTGATGTAGGAATTCAAAGCCTGGCCACCCTGGGTCAACTGACAACTCTGAAGGGTCCTTCCAGTGCCAGAGCTCCCCAGAGGATTGGCTGAGTCCTCTGTTGTGGCTGTATCACAGCTCAAATTTTTCCTCCTGCACAATCCTGCTTCCTCGCCACTCTACAGGTGTTATTCCACACTCTCCCCTGAGTAAATTCCTGCATGCACCCCAGAGTCTCGGGGTCTGCTTCCAGGGAAATCTATCTGAGAAAAGAAGCTACAGTAAGAAAGCAAAGCTTATATAACCCACTATATGTATTTGCATATTAATCCTATATCCTATATATGTAATATATATTACATAAGATACATATGTTGTAATAGCAAATATGAGGATATAGAATGTCTTATATATTATGTAACATATAAAATGTTGTATATTATATATTATGTGTATATGTATTTAGAATATATATAAATACATATGCATAATTGGAATTAAAGTTTCCACAGATAATTATTCACTATGGGCAATGCATTCTGATTTTTCTACGCTATTTTATTTCATTTCATGAAGAAGAACATATACATGTGGATGTATTATGTACTGTAAAGCCGTTATATAACACATGTATTATATACTGTATGTCATATATAATATACATTATAGATTGTATATCTTAATGAAATAACATTACATGCATAAACAACAACTCCATTTAGTCATGCAATATGATCTGTTATTCTCATTTTTATTTATCCCCATCATGGAGAGGTTGAATTGTTGGTCATAAGTCAACAGGTGACCTAAGGTTTGAGAAACACTGGACAGCCGGGCACGGTGGCTCACGCCTGTAATCCCAGCACTCTGGGAGGCCGCGAGGCAGGATCACAAGGTCAGGAGTTCGAGACTAGCCTGGCCAACATGGTGAAACCCCATCTCTACTAAAAATACAAAAAATTAGCCAGGCACAGGCAACGAATCTTAGTCCCAGCCACCAGGAGGCCTGGGCTTGAATCCCAGGAGGCGGAGGCTGCAGTGAGTTGAGATTGAGCTAGTACTCTAGTTTGGTGAGCAGAGCAGACTCTGCTTAAAAAAAAAAAAAAAAAAAAAAAAAAAGAGGGAGAAAAATACAGGACAAAATTATCCACAAATGAGGAGATGAGTCTCAACTTAAGAGAGTTTTCAACTTTAAACCAGAGGAATTGAGACTTCCAGGAAGGAATGAGGGTGGGGAGGTTTGGGTGTGGAAAGTGTGCCTGGGACTGTATTTGGTACATTCCATCACAGCATTTGCACAACCTCCATTCGGGCCAAAATCCCTAGAAGTCTTGGGTTCTGAGGGGTTCAAAGTTGGTGAAACAAGTCTCTGTTCCCATACTGAGCTAAGGACATACATAGGTTTCTTTCCCTGTCCACCCCACCTCACACATAGTAGACACTAAACAAATATTTGTTAGATTGCCCGAAGAAAAGACTGAAGGATGTTGGATAGGGTGGGGCTTGAGATGCAGAAGGGGAAGGATGGACTGTTCACTGAATTCAGAAATGAATAAATGCCTGACAAAGAAAATGTGAAACATTGGATTTGTGATTATGAAAAGGAAGGAACTTGTCACCATTCCAAAGGGATAATAAATGCTTGACGGAGCAAAGAAGCAGCCAAAGGACCTGTGTGGAGGGCTGGAGTGGAGACGTGAAGTCTAAAGGAGGGTGGTTACCTACATCCAGCAGAGGTCTCATTGATGTTTGCTGACTTCAATGGAGCAAACTTAACCAGGAAGATAACACGTTGAATAGTGGACATTGTGAAGGAATTACAGCACGTGCTCCATAAATGCCTTACAGATTGATAGAGAAAAAGCAGAGAAGCCTGCTGCAGGGATGGGAGTAATGTGGCTGCTTGAAAATATGAGTAAGATATTACTAAGTGTTTTCTGACTAATTCGGGGAGAAAAAGGCAGCTAGAGAGATGGCTAAGTGGAGGAAGAGGCCTAGCTAGAATAAATGGAAAACAGTACATTAAGTAGCCAGGATTGTGTTGTGTAAAAGGCAGGATGGAGATTGTTACGTGGTACCTAGAACTGCAAGAAGGATAAGAGGCATTTAATGCAGGGCCTAGTAGTATATTTAAATGCTCATTAAATGATTGTGGGGTTATAAGAAAGGTATAGCAAGGCAAGCTGGCAATTGAGGATTTCATACTGCATTTAGGAAAAAAGATAAGGGGAGCCAGTGAAGGGTTATTCCTAGTATATTATGGAATAATAATGCTCTACACTTTCATGGAAAGGATTCAATAAATATCTGTAGAATGAATAAATTGCTGTGAATAGAGAAAGGCTACTGGTAAAGGCTCGTGGGGAGAGAGGTAATCTGACCAGTAAGCTGGTACTCAATACATTTAGGCTGAAGTAGAACCCTGAGAGAGAGCTCTGAGGCAGGGGCAGGATTTCTAGAGACTTTGGAAATAGGAAGTTGAAAGTGACTTGCTACTAAGTGTTTCAGTAAGTGTTTACTTAAACAGTAAAACTATTAAGTAAACAGTAAACTTAGTAAATTTATTTCAAATTTCTATTTAGTAAATGTAGTAATTACAATAGTAAAACTATTAAGTAAAGTTTCTACTAAATATGTTACTTAAATAGACTAAAAGCTCCCTTTGGGGGATGGAATTTAAAGTGCTAAGTAGAGGGAATCTAGGGTATTGAAGGAGGAAAGGGTGATCATTATAACTCAGCTCTGGATTTATCACAGGAGTTGACCTCGGGGAGAGGCTCTGTGGATTGGAGAGCAGGCCTCTTAGGGCATAGGAAGGAAGAACGACTCCCAAAACAACAGGTCCTGCAGCTACGTGCTCACTGGAGCTACTGTAAAGAAAATAATTCTGGGGAGGAGGTGTGAATATACAGAACACACAGAAGGCATCTGCATAAAATGCTCAGGGAGCCATTAAGGAAAAGGCTCTTTAGAGAGGATGATTAGAATGAGGATGTGGCAGACAAGGAATAAATACTACTGGATCCACTAGAAGAAAAGGCTCTTGGGGAGGGGGCTGGGGATGGATATGAGTAACTACCTGATCAATGCCTCACTGCATCCTTCTTGAAGGAGCAGCCTCTGGGGAGGGAATAGGAGTGCAGAAAGTTGATCTATGGAGCCGATTCTTTCACCCATAAGAGAAAAGGCTGTAAGAAGGCACAATCAGGCACACAGAGGTGCTCCATAAAGCACTCAAGGAGCATTAAAAGAAAAGTCGTTGGAAAGAGAGTGACTGGAATGGTACACACAGCAAGTGTAAGATATCTGAACACTGTATTAACTGGAGGCACAGGCCTTTATGGAGGGGTCTCAGGTTGTGTCATAGAAAGTGTCAATACATGCAGACTGAAGCCACCGGAGGAAAGGGTATTGGAGAAAGGGTTTGAAGGTGGGGTATACAGCAGGCACCACTCAATGCATGCTTGCTGAATACACTGGAGGAAAGAACTTTAGAGGGTTACTTGCCACTGCAGGCAAGTTGATAAATGCTATTAATCACCAGCAAAGGAAAGGTCTTAAGAATAGCTGAGAACGGGGGATACAAGAGGCAATTTCCAATAATGTTTTCTAGACACTGTAGGGAAAGGTCTTTGGAGGAGACAGTCTGAAGATGAGTCACACACAAACTGCCTGCGGAACTCACTGGAGGAAAATGATTTGTTTGAGAAGGGGTTTGAGGTGGGGCAATGTGTCAGGCATTTCTAACGAATGCTTCCTTTAGATCCTTTGGAGAAAAGGTCTTCAGGAGAGAGCTGGAGTTGGGGGTACAGAGAAGGCATCCAATCAAACTCACAGGATCTCATGAGTGGGTGTGCTGGAGAAAAGCTGTGTGGGATACACAGCAGGTACTTCAATGTTTACTAAAGAGTTTAAAAGGGCTTTAAGGACGGAGCTGGGGTGGGACACATAGCATAGACTGGACACATGCTCATAAGACTCCATTAGTGGCTACCAAAGGGCAAGGTTGGAGACAACAGGACAGTGAGTTTGCTCAAAAATGCTCACAAAGTTCATTGAAATCAAAGGTTTGGGGAAGGGCTTCTGATGAGTGTATACTGGTAAAATATAGATAAGTGCTCACAGATCCATTAGAGGACAAGGCCTACATAAGTAAGGCTGGGCGTGTAGGCAGGACAGCCCGGTTTTTGCTATGCCCAGAGGATAATTAAAGCCAAAGATTGGGAGGTTATAGGGAATATAATACAGCGGCAAATGAGGCAATTGCTCCTGGACTCATCAAGGTTTAAGGGCAAGGGGGGCGACAAGGGCGGGGCAGAGGAAGCATCCAGCTTAATAATTTGAAGGAAAGATTGGGTGAGGCAGGTGCCAGGCACATAAGCGGCGCTGAGCAATTGCTCATTTGCAGACCATCTGGGGGACTCCAGGCCCACGTGGCTTACCAGTCGTGTGCGCCTGCCGGCTGACTTACAGCACTCCTGGATGGTGCCTCATGGCCTGCACTCCCCAGAGCCAAGCCGCCTCACCTGCTCGCTGACACAGGTGCTGCTGCATCTGCTTTGACTGCTAATAAGTTGCATTTAGAAGAAGCCACCGCCTCGGAGAATCGGGGTATTAAAGCGGCACGAGAGCTGCCACGGCCCCGGGAGGACCTCTCAGCAGTGGAGGTCCCGGATCGGCGGTTCGGGCCGGGCAACGGGCGCGCGGTGGCTGCGCGGACGCTGCAGGTCTGCTGGCAAATCCATTCGGCAGATTGGCCAAAGTTAAGTGTCCAGGTGGCGGCGCCGCAGTCTTATGGCTATGGCCTGGGGCAGGGGGTCCTGGGGTGGCTCCGCCAGGAGCTGGGCGGACTGCGCGTGCCCAGGAGCACAGCTGCGCTCAGGCACGAGACGACTCTCCGGCTGCCCACCGCAGACTGAGGCAGGGCCGAGTCGGCCAGCCAGCGGATGGCGCCGCCTGTGCTCCCCTTATTCAAAAGCTTTCTCGTATGCGGTGCGGCAACTGCTAAGCTGTATGAAGTGAAAGTGAGGCACTATAAGGTGGCCGGGAAGGAGTTATGGGGATCGGCGAGTGAATGCCACGCTTTCTCAGTGCTGAGGCGGGCGTGTGGGCGCCGCTGCCAGGCGTGGCGTATATTGAACCATGGAAGAGTTGCAATGCGACGCAATGATCTGCCTCTCTCCCCTGATAGGGATGCTAATTTGGGGAATGGGCTGTGGCCATTCAGAGTGGTCGGGTCGTCATCAGGTAGGCACTCTACCCGCCTATCCTGGTCCGTGGCACCCACCGCACTATACACAGGCCCTCCGCAAATACTCGGCTCTAGGTGTTGGATATCTAACTCAGAAGGTGCTTTTGAGGGAGGGCATGGAAGCATGCCAACAGAGACACGAAGAGAGGAAATAATTTCACGGAGGGGGTGAGGTCACACGCAGTGCCTGTAGGAGAGCTTAGCTCCACGGTCACAGGCCCCAGCGGAGGGCAGAGAGAGGGGGTTGGATGAGAATGACACAAGCGGAGGTGGACACTTGGGTGTAGGTACACTCCTTGCCCAAGGTGGCAAGCTTGAGGCACACAAGAGAATGACACATATAAACACACACAGTAAATGATAGTGCATATACAAGGGCATGCACAGACAGAGAAATACACACCAGTCTAGGTATACACAGACATACAAGTCCAGGGTAAATATGGGTATATTATATATACTGTGACATGCATAAGATCCACACACACACACATACATACAGGCAACACTGACACACAGAGACCAGGAAACTCATATGGTAAATACGCCGCAACAAAACACATTTCACTATTATCATGAGAAACCTAGATTTGCAACACACATGACATTCTCTGCAGCCCCAGCTCCTGGTACTGTCCACCCCTACACCAGAACACACTTGGCATATAGATTGCCACTCATCCCTGCCTCTTACACAGTTTTTTTAAACCAGTGATAACTATCGATATCACCAGTGCCCACATTGCCCCCCTGCACCCAAACCCTTCAAGAGGCAGGCCCATCCTATGGTATATACAGTAGGTACTAAATAATGCTTAAATATAAGCAAATGAGGGGAGTTCAAGCAGAGGTGGGATATAGAAAATGCCAACTTTATGATTCTGACTACAATAAAATCACTAATTCAATTTATTTGTTCACTGTTTGTACTCAAACTGTTAACTAAGCTGTTTATATGCATCATTTGTCCAACCCTCACAATAATCCAATGTGTATAATATAATTTCTATTTTATAGATGAAGGAATACAAGAACTCCAATTAATTCCTAAAAGGGTCATGTTCACTTTATGATCAATATATTTTTTCTTTAAGAATGTGCCAGGAAGAGAAAACACATCCAGTGCCAATGCGGCTGGAGCAAGCTGGAAGGGGTTGTAGGTAGCCAGATTGGGTAGGACTTGACCATAGTGAGCAGTGACAGAATCAGAGAGGGCAGAAGATAGGCAGAAGTAAGTAGATGTTGTGAGTCTTTTTGCCTGCAGAATTCTCTATATGTGAATCATCCACTTATTCATTTGTTCATCCTTTATTCATTAAACTGCCAGCTGGTTTAAATAAGGTAGTGCATAGTGGGTCTGAGACAGTGCCTGGGTTTGCTGGGTCTCCAATAAGGTACACTTGGAAAGTGACTTAATCTTCTGAGATTTGGCTTCATCTGTAAAAAGGGTACACTTCTAACTCCACCACAGAGAGAGGGGTAGGGAAGGGGGCAAATCTCGTGACCTTGCATGTGCTGGTAACTTCACAGGAATGTCTCCTTCCTTTCTCGAGGGCTGCCTTTAATATCATCTGCAGTGAACCCTCACTTCCAGGTCTCAGATCTGATCTCCTCAGGCTTCCCACAGTACCTAAGTCAAACATTTCCCAAAATCCATCCGCTTACCCTCCTCCAACCCAGTGCCAGCTTCAGTCCCACCTCTCTAGGCCTTTTGATTTGGCCTCTCTTCCTCCCTCCCTTCAGGATTCCTTCTGGTACTCCAACCAGTGTTCTGTGATGGGGATCTCTCGCAAATCAGATATTTCCAATGTCTTAAGCATGTGCTCCTGGTTTTTACCCAGTAACGGAAGCAAACAAGCTGCAGGTGTGTGCCTCTTTGAGACAGGAACAGCTGCAGGTCTATGCAGATCCTGGCTCCTTTGTAGGTCTGAATTCAGGTTCCTGGTAACCATTCCAGGTTGCGCTTCTTCCTAGGTCCCCATTCCTAGGTCTTAGTACTTCTGTGGCCTCAGCACCCACTTCTTTTCCAGTTGCCTTAATGTCTAGAAATTAATTTTTTGTAGATTGTTTTGTAAAGGAATGAGGATTCACCTCAGAGGCCCCTAATTCACTAAGGCAAAGGTGAGGTCAAACTGTCTCCATCTTCTTCAGCAGGAATAGGGCATAACAAAGGCCCTAAGCAATGATTTTGCTGTACATTGGGTGAGCAATGACTTTCAAACACACACCCTGACATATGTTCACATCTGTGCATTGCAACGTGTTTGTAACTCACATATAGATATCCATATAATTTTCATGTGTATGTGTGCATACACGCATGACTCTGCATTGTTATGGCATATACACAGCTGTAACCTTACACACATGCCATATATCAATACATCCTTAATTTTGCATAGCCCCAAAGGTCGCATCTCTCTCTCTCTCCTACACACAGCTGAATTTGTCTTTATTGTAAACGTATACCTCTCTCATACCCTGTAGTAGCAACCAGAACCCTCACTTGGCCTGGCCTTCCCAAGATGACTAGTAAGTACTTATCAGCCCACTTCACTTCAGCCATTGACTGGTCCATTTGACAAAGGGGAAAATGACCCAGAGAAGTCATAAGGTACTCAACATACTCTGGGTGTATTGTCACAAACCCCACCTAAACCTCCCCACACAGAGGGGTCCTCTCCACCTACAGCACTTTGATATTTAAGACCTCACCACAATCCATGATGCTTCAAAAATGTCCAGCCTACTACCTTTCTAGTGTAGTTTCTTTGTAAATGGGGATAATAACAGTGAATTACCCATGGGTCTGCTCTGACGAAAGAAGTTCATGCTATGGAGTTCTAAGACACTACTACACACACAGTAAGTAATTTCTAAGTAGCAGATATTACTATGATGGCTATGATTCTTATGATGCGTCTCTTCACAAGGGCCTGGCATTCAGTAAGGGTAAATGAACAGCAAATGCTAAGAGCACTGGTGTCTGGCTTTGTTCCTTTTACTGCTGAGACATTTAACGCCTGATCTGGCTCTTCTCTATTCTCCGTGATGTCCAGCACCTTCATTGTTAGTATACAGCAGGCGTTAAGTGTTAAATAGATATCTACACGAAAGGAATACCTCTTCCTGAGTCCGTCTCGCTCAGATGTCCTCTTCTACCAGCCCTCCACCCCTAGCTGCTCAGATCTAGTTTTAGCATATAGCAAGGCGCTAATAAGTGTTGAATGAATGAACAAATACCAGAGGAAAGTGTCTGGATTTGTCTTGGGGCTCCCAAGGGCAGACACTGACTTCAACTTCTTTGCCCCCGCCCCAGCCTCAGAGCCACAGGCACTTCCTTTCGGTCTCCGTCTCCCCCACGGCTATTTGTCGCTGCACTGCGCTGAGCCAGCTGTCGGGGAGTGGCAAGGCAGTGCTCGGGCTGGCATGGTGCCAGCCCGGCCACTGCTTTCTGTTGCTTTACTCTACAGACGCTGGGGCCGGAGGGCGACAGCAGAGGTTTCCTTCTGAGGCTCCAGCTGGTGGGAATTTAGGGAGGCTCCAGGGAGGCGGGGAGATAACGACAAGTACGCCAAGCAATCAAGAAGTGCCTGCAAGACAAGTAGCCAATCAGGGAACTAACATGGAGCTCTGCAGAGGAACGTGACATGCCCGAGCACTAAGGGGGATGGCGCGAGGGCCCAGACATACACTGGGGGAAGCAGTGGCAGCGGCGTGGAGAGGCTGGGGCTGCACACTGCCACTCCTGCCAACCTGCGACCACAGTGGAAGATACTGTCCGCAACAGGTTGCTGTGTCTTGGCCCGCATGTGCCCTCTTTGCCCTGTGGGATGCTATCACCCTACTCGGGGAAGGGAAGGTTGTTTTCCTCCTTTAAGGAATCGAGACGAAATGAAGAGGCTTATTGAGGTTTGGAAGGTCAGGTGGTTTCAGGAGGGAGGAAAGAGGTGTTAGAGTTTCTCTTCCTCAGGTCTTTGCAAGCAGGCACGTGTAGACATGGTCGTTTCTCCTCTACCACTAGCTTCTGCCCCTGTAGCCTCACACTGCAGCGGTCTCCCTAGAAGGTCATGTTCTCATTTGACCTTCTGACTGTTGAAATGGGCCTGAGGCATTAGGGGTGGGAAGAACGGAAGGGAGGCTTTCAGAAGGTAAGAATGCATTCAAGTCTTATTGAGCGCCACATGTGCTGACCGCCACTTTGTTTGTTTGTTTATCTGTTTTTGAGATAAGGTCCTCATTCTGTTGCTTCAGGCTGTGCAGTGGCACAACTCATAGTCACCAGCCTCAATCTCCTGGGCTCAAGTGATGCTTTTGCTCAGCCTCCCAAAGTGTCGCTGGGATTACAGGCGTGAGCCACTGTGCCTGGCCTTCCTCAACATTACTTTTTTAGCTGGATACTGGGCAATTTCTTTAGCTTCCTGTGCTTAAGGTTTCTGCATCTGCAAATGAGAATGGTAGGAATAGTAATAGTAATACTCACCTCACGGGGCCGAGTGAGGATAAATGAGTTAATTCAGGTAAAGTGCTCAGAGCAGTGCCTTACACACAGCAAGTGCTCAATAAATGCTGGTGAATGTTACTTGTTGGCATGAGCTACTTTCACTCAAATATATATCCTTATATCTCTTCCACTGCCTTCAGGAAAACTCAATGCCTTGTCCTGAC